CCTCCCACAAGTCATCAACAGCTCCTCCCACAAGTCTTCAACAGCCCCTCCCACAAGTCATCAACAGCTCCTCCCACAAGTCATCAACAGCTCCTCCCACAAGTCTTCAACAGCCCCTCCCACAAGTCATCAACAGCTCCTCCCACAAGTCATCAACAGCTCCTCCCACAAGTCTTCAACAGCTCCTCCTACAAGTCTTCAACAGCTCCTCCCGTGGCAGAAGGCCGCCTCGGTCTGTTTAAACTAAAAGGGTTCCACCAATATGTCTACCCTACGAGGAGGAAAAATGGGCACCTCGGATCAACTTGCCAATCCAGCTCTGTGTGTCTAAACGCTCGCAGCGGCCCAACATTCGCGGAAAACCTGGCAGTGTAAAAGGGGCTAGTGTTCAACACCAACAAACAACAGTGTGTTTCAGTGACTTGTCTCTGTGTTTCCAAACCTTGGTATGTTGCAGTGATCTGTCAGCACGACTGTTTCCTCCTCAGCCAAAAACCTTTTTAGCCAAAACATGAAGTTTTCCAAAGCAGAACCAGGTGTTTCTGCGCCTGAAGCTGACCACACCTTAACCACAGTCTTGCTGAAAGCACAGTGTGATTTTGCCCAGTAGGACGTGTTCCTGGACCAACACTGCAATGCTAACGACTAAACTCCCCAATAGGCTAAAATATTGTTCACTTATATTCAGCGTTATATTGATCCAGGACCATCATCATGTTGATCCAGGACCATCTTCGTGTTGATCCAGGACCATCGTCGTGTTGATCCAGGACCATCATCATGTTGATCCAGGACCATCTTCGTGTTGATCCAGGACCATCGTCGTGTTGATCCAGGACCATCATCATGTTGATCCAGGACCATCTTCGTGTTGATCCAGGACCATCGTCGTGTTGATCCAGGACCATCATCATGTTGATCCAGGACCATCTTCGTGTTGATCCAGGACCATCGTCGTGTTGATCCAGGACCATCATCATGTTGATCCAGGACCATCTTCGTGTTGATCCAGGACCATCGTCGTGTTGATCCAGGACCATCATCATGTTGATCCAGGACCATCTTCGTGTTGATCCAGGACCATCGTCGTGTTGATCCAGGACCATCATCATGTTGATCCAGGACCATCTTCGTGTTGATCCAGGACCATCGTCGTGTTGATCCAGGACCATCATCATGTTGATCCAGGACCATCTTCGTGTTGATCCAGGACCATCGTCGTGTTGATCCAGGACCATCATCATGTTGATCCAGGACCATCTTCATGTTGATCCAGGACCATCGTCGTGTTGATCCAGGACCATCGTCGTGTTGATCCAGGACCATCATCATGTTGATCCAGGACCATCTTCCTGTTGATCCAGGACCATCGTCGTGTTGATCCAGGACCATCGTCGTGTTGATCCAGGACCATCTTCCTGTTGATCCAGGACCATCGTCATGTTGATCCAGGACCATCGTCGTGTTGATCCAGGACCATCATCATGTTGATCCAGGACCATCATCGTGTTGATCCAGGACCATCATCATGTTGATCCAGGACCATCATCATGTTGATCCAGGACCATCGTCGTGTTGATCCAGGACCATCTTCCTGTTGATCCAAGACCATTGTCGTGTTGATCCAGGACCATCGTCGTGTTGATCCAGGACCATCATCATGTTGATCCAGGACCATCTTCCTGTTGATCCAGGACCATCGTCGTGTTGATCCAGGACCATCGTCGTGTTGATCCAGGACCATCTTCCTGTTGATCCAGGACCATCGTTGTGTTGATCCAGGACCATCGTCGTGTTGATCCAGGACCATCACTGCAGTGTTGATGTCGACATAAACAAATTATAGTTTTAGCATAATATCATGCACATGTCGCCTGTGGGCTGTAGAAATGTACAATAAAGACATTTTCCTGGCCGCTGCTCGGCTCTGACCCGGCGGTGCAGGACACAGAGTTTGGGCTGAAGCTGAATATGAGAACTGAAGTTTGATGTTTAAACAGTTGTTGCTCTCCTGGTCAGTCTGCAGCGGTGCGTCATGCAGCACGGAGGACATGCAGATAGAAAGTAGTGATGGAGGTCGGTGTGTTGAGTCCCAGCGTCTGTCTGTGTGAACTGTGATTTAGCGTCTGACATGGCCGAGCTGCGCGGCTCAATAGCACTAAAAGGCTCATCCTGTCTAATGGGGTTCCTCTATGACGCAGACACAACCCTCCCTTATCTTACTCTGACATATGATCCACAACACACACACACACACCTACTGTACATCCATTCATTCTGTGCACACACACACACACACACACTGATCAAACACACACTTACTGTACACACACACACACACACACACACACACACACACACACACCTGCACCGCCCTGCACACTAATGAAAAGGAAGGGAACTGAGAGGACGCTGCACGACAAACAGTTGTGTAATTGCTTTTGAGAAACGGCTGTTGTCGGAGGCTGTCATCGATCGGCTCTGCCGAGGACCACTGGTTTACTCAGTGTGTGGGCGGAGGCAGTGATCATTACTGGACCCACTGTGGTATCACTTTATTAAGTCAATGTGGTTGGATGTTTGAGTGGAGGTGGGGGAGGGAGGTTGTCATGCTTCATACAGGCGCTGCTGCCACATGATGAAACACATACACACAGTTAAAGCTGCAGACGATGAAGATGCTTCAGAGTCTGAGAGGAGTTCATCAGACAGAGTTGATCCACATGTTTTGGTGCAGGATGTGAAGTGAGCTGATGATTTGTGTTGAATCATCTTGGCCCAGATCAGATGCAGATATCACAGGAGCTGATGGAGAGTTGGGTGGTGCACGCTGAGCTGAGCTGAGGCACGGTGGGCGTAGTGCTGGACTTCTCCAAACAGCGTTATGAATGAAGAGCTCAGGAGTGCGTCACTGTGTAGTATTCATCCCTCCCCAGCAGATGGCCCCGCCTGCCAGGGCTGAGCTGGGAGGGTGGCGGCGGCGCTGGGGGGGGAGGAGGGGGGGCCCCTATCGATTTGGCATTTGAGATATAGCGTGCAATGTAACATTTTTGGAAGGTTCTTAAAATATTTATTGCTGGTGATGCTTCTCCACGGACACCAGTTTGCTTTGCCTCCTATTTAATTAATGACATCAATGCAAATTGGGGGGGTGGGGGTGATGGGGGGGGGGGGGGGGGGGGGGGGGGGGGGGGG